GCTAATGCGCAGTAGAATTAGTTCAATGGGCATTAAGCATCTCATGTAGATGAACCTACAGAACATAAATCTTTCCTTTAGTTCAATGGTTACCTAGGATCTTATTAAAAACTGTAAAACAACTAGCAGAACAAAACCAGCCTCTAGGAGTACTGAGCTTTCAGTACTACCAAACCAGAAAAAAAACTCACATTAATATATTGTTCACATCTGAATACTATACCTTTGAGAGTTTTATATTATAAAACCTTATTTCTAAATCCAGTTATCTTTAAGAATTGTAAATGATATTGAATTAAAACAGTATTTACCTCTTCGTTCTTTTTCTGTACCCATTCCTTGTGTTTCTCTTCTGCAATCTTTTTTCTTCTTTCAAGTTCCTGCTTTTCTTTTCTTTTCTCCAGTTGTTGATTAATTTCCTAATTAAAGCAAAACGTATACAGCTCAGTTTGGTCGCTATTTGAAAATGAGTTACTTGAAATGCACACAGTTTAGGTTTAAAAGCCAAAGTACTTCATAGTAGGACTGCCCCAAGTAGATTAGATGGGACAGTGCTTAAAAATGCAATGAAAGCACATCTATACTAACACTCTTAATGATAGTAGTAGAAAGCTTTTAAATATTCTCTAGTTAAGAAACGACCAGAAGTCAGAGAGCAGGGACTATGACCAAGGTGGGAAAAATTCATAAGGTACATTTCTATGGACAAGAAATGTTTCCATTTATTTAATGGGTCTCTAGAAGTCAAACAACAAAATGGACTTTGATCAAGTTTCCATTAAGAATTCTAACTTCTAAACCAAGAAGCCTAGAATGAACATTTATATGAGTTTTATCCTAAATAAATAAATAAATAAATAAATGCAATTTGCATACTATATCCTCAAAAGTGATTTCATGGTCTCGATCCTGCATTTAACTTAAATAAGAATTTCTATTTCTAATGACTCTTCTTGGATCTGAAGTCAAATAAAAATTAAAAAAGTGTCTCTAACTCTTCCGCAAGAGCCCAAAAGAGGAAAAAAAAAAAAAAAA